TATTGCTCGGCAAATGCCAAATATACGACTCGATTTTATTATTTCTGTTATATACTTTTTGAACTAAAATGCAAAATAGAGAGTATAACGTGTATTTGATTTTATGCCTCAATACACTTGTTCCAACCAGTTTCATTCTCGAGTGATTTAGGAAACTTTATCATATTATGAATATCTATTATGTTTTATTTAAATTGCGATATTTATATTACACGATTCATTCTCTGATCGCGTCTGTTCAAATATTATAATCGCATTTCTTTAATGTCTGCTTTTAACGCACCTGATTATGTTATCATGTGTACCACGTAAAAGTCTGGCACATGTTGTCTCGCACGTGTTGACGGAATAATACTTGACATGCTGTAACGTTGAAGTAATTGACACAATTATGAAAATATCTTTATTGAATGTTAAAAAATAAAACTGGTAATTAACTTTCCAAACTTACAACTAAATTTTCGTATTGTTGATAAATATCATATAATATATTATAATTAGTCTCATTAATATGATAAATTTTGATTAACTTACTTTCACTATCAATTTATTATCCCTTTTTGATAATTCTATTTATATTTATGTAAATAGATAAAGAAAATTTTTATTTAGATACAGCTGTACATAATAGTGCAATATCGAACTAATTTTAGTTTTTTTGACACAATACATATATAATCTTTTTTGAAGAACATTATAACCAAACTTCCTTATTTTAGTATTCATCAAATTTATTATAATTGATTATGACGTTTACATGACAATGTATTATTATTTTCAATTTTAAGTACATTTCTGTTTGGTCAACTAATAAAATATAATTTTTTTTACGGAATATGCGCTCGAGAGATCGTGAAAATTTATACAAGTCAGTCGAAATAACGGAATTAGTGGCAGTTACTGATTTTGTGTCATACATTTTGCGAGATCAGAATACAATCGGTAATTACAACAAAATTTTTAATTGGATTATATTCGAATAAATTAATCATATCGAATAAGAGACATATGTGACGATAGTGAAAAAGTATATAAAAGAACATTTGATTCAGAATTTTTGTAACCATTAATAGATTTAACAGCTTAAATAACTTAAAACAAATATTATTGTCTTTTAAATCTTAATAAGCATGCATATAATATGCCTTAAACTTTATTAATATTTTAATGTCATTTATTAAATATATTCGTTCTTAATTTTTTAAAAGTTTATATTATTTAGCTTCTTGTACTTATAGCTCTAATATTTTATATTTTTTATTAATATATAATACATTCCGTTAATTATTATATAAGACAAGACTAAGGTATATGTGTGTAATAATGATAATTTTATGTAATACTGAAAATTTTTTATTTTATATATTTTATGATCGATGATTATATTCTTATCTATCTGATTACTGCAACTCTCTAAAAACTCCAATTTTATTTGCATTAGCATATAATAAGGAAACGCGATAATTTTCTTTTTAACCTGATAATATCTATATATGACACAACAATTAGATATTATTAAGTACCTATTATTTGCACAATTTTAACGTGTGACACGCGCTATATCTTTTAAGTATAGATTATCGTCAATTGAGGATTATTCGCATTTTCATATTTATTATTTATATGTATTAAAATGTTTATGTATTTTGTCGAGGATCAACAGTAACCGTATGTAGTCGATTTAGTATAGCATTTTTAAATTTAAAACTGTAACATGAAAATTAAATATTGTTTTAACTTGAAATTATATATATATATATATTCAAATTTTTACAATCTTTTTGAGGATATTGTATCAGATTCATCAAGGAGATCCTTGATCTTTATCACTATTGTCTTAGCCCATATATGTCACGTCTTTTTATCACTGATACACCGTGATAAAAGCAGTTTTGCACTGGAATTACAAGTTTGTAGATTTCTTACTTTTTATATTTACTTTTCCAGACAATGTGTAAAACGCAAATATCTCATATTTTGAAGGAAAAAATTAGCGCATGATAATATGGAGACGACAAAATAAGCTCGCTTTATTTTGTTACATTTGAATTACAATCGTGCAGCGCGTTTCTCCACATTTTAATTACAATTGTGTTATTGTTTAACATGCATTTCCATATGTATCATATTTTGCCTAAATAACACATGTGAGGTGTTTGTTCTTTAAATATGCTCCTGTTAATTACATTTCTCAATTTGGACACATATTAGAAAAGGAAATAATTACTCTTCCGTTATTAATATATAATGTAGTCGATTAATCGGTCTTTTAATAGTTAAAGTCTTGTCAATTAATCGAACTATTATACATCTCTTTAATTTGCACAAAAATTATTTCAGAATAACAAAATATTTCAATCTCAAATAATAACAAAACAATTTTGATATCGACAAATTAATAAATAGCGATCTCATTTGCCGAATAGTGGTATAATTAATACGTGACTAGCAGATGTTTTTAAGATGCTTTGAAGTACATTGCAAATAATTCTTTACTTAAAATAATTTGCATCTTTTTTTCATAAAGCTTATTCGCAAATCGGATGAATGTAACGATGCAACTAGCTTTGCACGACTGTTGCACGTGGCTACAGTCCTGTGCCGCGTTGTCTCTCATTATTGGCACGCAGCTATTGTTTGATAACTCGTCAAGTGTCTTGTTACTTCGTTGAATGGTAAATCCGTCATAAAAAAAAGATTACGATAAAATCGAACATGCAACGAGAGACGATTTATCATTGAGACATAATGTGATACATTTCTATGAAAATGTTATAATAAACTCTTTCGCTATACAATATTAGAATTCTGACCATTGCATTTTTTTACAAAGCAAAATTTCAAATTAATTGCTAAAATTATAAATATATATAAAAAATGCAACATGTATATAATTAAAATAGAAATGCATTACATTTTTTCTTACCATAATTCATTTAGATAATCACGGCAATCATGAATTAAATAAAATGAGAGAATTGAATCTAATTAAATCAATCGATAATTACGGACAATATACCGCATGTAATAATATGCAAGTGACGAATCTCTGGTCAAAATTTACCACAAGAATACGCAGATATTTATCAGCCTTCTCAGATATTTATTAATCTTTACAATCCCATTTCCAGTAGCCGGGACCATCAAATCTGTTTAAAAATGCATCTCAAGGACTGCCGATTACTAAGCTACAAATACATATTTGGTTGCATGATTAACAATGAGAAATATGATTCAGAGACAGGTGATTATGACGTTTGTTGTTCATGCAAAATTTCTTGGATACAATTTTCGCTCATTAAACCCTTATCCTTCCCGGACTGACGACTTACAACTGACTACTGATAAACTTGAGATAATTCTCAGACGGCAGCTTGTTTAAGCAGCGGATCGGTTGAAAATGATGATATCTTTTACGATTTGTTTGCGCTGTGACGTTGACGTGACGACACTCTACTAGTCATGATGTCAACGACGATAACAGTAGCGAAATTAATGCACTCGATAAATAAGCAAATAGACATTAATTCGAAAATCTTGAGTATTTTCTTGACGTCCTGGAAAATGTCGTGGAGAAAGTATATTGTTCGTTCGATCGCACGCAGCATAATTAGAGCCGCGAAAGAATAGAGTTTACTCTGTTTCGGCTTTGCTCGGTGAAAGTCATCAGTTACGCTGATTTTCAGAATAAGAATTGCTTTTAGAATAAATTGCCTTCGAATTATGAGACAAATTGACAGGAGTTACAATAATCTGCAAAAAAATATCGATTGAAAACTATTCGATCATGTCTCATAATTATCGAACTTATTTTGTTTTCTTCTTTTAATTTCTTTGTCTTTTTGTTTATTTATTATAAAAAAGTATATATATTTCTTTATATATATAATTTTGTGTTCTATTTTTTAAATATTTTTTATTGCATTTATAATGCATTTTAGCATTAAAAATATGGAATTAATAAATTCACAATAACGAATAGCGTGAGCAATTGTATTAGATCGATTAAAATTAAAGATGTATTGACAATAGTAGCAATACGATGCCACGGTAACAGCTATTATAAAAGAACAAAGAAAGACGATAATCAAGGAGAAGTGATGTATGCGTACGTAGTCGGCATCTAAAATAAGTAAGGCTCTTTCACCTTGTGTTTAAACGCCAGTATCGATTATTGTCAACACTCATGGAAAAAAAATTGATGGCATTCGATTGATTCACATATTCGGTGAGGAGTCAGTTTTTATTGTTCTTTCTAATATGTTCATCCGATTTCGCTTTGGTATGTGTGGACATTAATATAAATCAGCAATAAGTTTCATAAATATAAAAGAGAATGTAAAATATCAATATTCTTTCTGCAACATATGTATATTTCATACAATTCTTATCTGACTGAAATAAGAAAGTATGATTATTTGTAACAGTCACGTAATTGAATAATAACTACATAGTAAGAGATAATGATCGCGACAGTTGATCGCTATGTTTAGGAAGAAGTTACGAAACTATTAGAAAATAATGAATAATAATATGCGAGTGAGTGGCTATTGAATACAAAATACATAGTAACATCATATTTGAAAGATTGCGTCATATAATTATAAATAAATAATAATAAATCTTTTATCTGTGAGAGAGAATTTATATCTAACTTATTAGGTCGCAAATGAGAGTGTCCTTGTTATTATCTTGTTCGGAGCACTATGTAGATGCATATGTGATTTGGGCAAACGCATCTGTTCGCTGACTCAATGCAACATCAAGATTTTAATCGATAGATTAAATAATAACAATCATCTTTTCATTTTTACTATAATGACTTTTATCCCTTTCTCGATTTGTGTTTTACAGATAAAAATGCATATATTTTACATATATTATTTCAATTATTTATTGCTTGATACATGTGTTATATTGTCCTGTTTTAACAATTTTATCTCGTGTATATATAAAAGTAGAAGGATAACGTTCTATCAGCAGACTATTTTATGTCGTAGGTCACTTCGTGCGATGTCATGGAATAATCTTCAAGTGCTATCGTGTATGAGAGGACACTCCGAGTATTCTTGCAGCTACAATGTGCGGTGCAAACGGTGAGTGCAATTTTTTAAGCTTATGTCGCTTATGTCGCAGTATCGTTAACGGGAAAGCTCTTTTCGCGAGCGATGTACTAACTAAAGAAACGAGTTAACAGTGCAGATGTGTGAATAAGAATCAGTAAACTTTAGTTCTCTCGAGACAACCAGTTAGGGGCAGTGCGTGACTTATCGTTCCGTTTTCAAGTAACTGGTATTTTTCCGTATCGAGTATTAATATATCGTACTATTCTGCATTATTTCGATTTACAATAAAATCAATAAGTCTATAATTTTCCAGTTTAACAATTTTTGTCATTTTGATTTTTATGTGACAAAACCATTTATATTTACATATATATTTGTACTACCTTTTTAGAAGTTTAATTTTAAATCAATTGATACTTGAATAATATTCATCGTAATTTTATATCACTTTCGATAAAATTTGTTAATTGATTTCCAATTTTAAAGTATTTTAATTTTATTTTTGACACAAAACAAAAAAAATATAAATTTATTGAAGAAAATTTTATAAATTAATTGGACTATTTGAAAGATTTAATTTGAATATTTCATGTAGATTTCATATTTGTATTAAGTAAAAAAAGACACTTCTAAATCACTTCAAATATAAAAATAAAAAGAAAAAAATATTGAGAGAGAGAGAGAGAAAAAATTGTTTTTAGAAAAAATCTAAGTCAGGATGTGTTCAGGTCACTACGAGCCGTTAGACGTAGATGCTTGTACTATATAATACTTTAAGTACTCTCAGTTAGTATTCTTAAAATTCTCTCTTAAGCAGAGAAACTTTTATTCAGGTTTTCTTCAGTCAAAGGTTGGTAAATTAACTAAATAAATCTTCAAACATTCTTTGTATAGTGTCCAGTACAGCTATTTCTTCAGTAGTCAATGGCTTCTAACAAATGAATTATTATAATATTATAAACAAACAATATTTATATGATATATTTTATACGGACTCCTAACTTTAAATAAATTAAATACATAGAAAAATAATATTAAAATATGTCAAACTATTTTTATGTCAGGTATTTAAAAATATTTTAATTTCTAGAATTTCATTTTCTAGAAATTCTAAATATATCATCACGAGATTATCTCACAATCAGACATTTTAATTATTGAAACATCTTTATTATTTTTATCATTACATCTTATAGTCATGCAACGCGATAATATGAACATGTAGTGTACTAAAATTAGAGAAGCACTTTAATACGCGACTTAATGATTTTAATTATTTACTCTCGACATTCAAATAATATCTTCTGCTATGTCGGCGGCTTGCTTTGTTGAAAATAATCTACATGCTAAAACAATCTTTTATTGCTGGAAAACATTAATTCAATAATCAATAACACGTGAAATATAGTTATTATATCGCAATAAAACTTTCATTATTCTCTTTTGTTTTATTCATGAAAATATAATATATGTTATATAATAATTATCATTATTATATAATATACTTATAGAAATTTATAATTAATGCTTTATCTTGTGATTTATTATTTTTTATTTGATGCTTCATATAATGACGTTTCTAAAAATAGATTCAATGCTAAATTTATGCAAATTTATTCGTAAAATGTTACAATAACTGAATGTCTTAGTTTTTCTATTACATTAAATATATTGACTGTTGCAACGTCTGTGCACTGTTTTGAAGTTGTTTCATATCAGATATCAGAATTTAATTGTGAGAAAAATGGTAATTATTTCGTTACCTAGGTGCAGCGATAATTATAAAGTTGTATAATTATATTGGAAATAATTTTTTTAATTTTAACTTGAGGTTTATAAACATTGCGCGTAATGTCTTGATTAATTTTATATACATTTTATTTACGACTTTTTATTGTTAGGAAATTTTATATTTAATATGACATTTTTAGAAAAATTAAACCTAAAAAGGTTGTATTTGCGCAAATACTGGTAATAATTATAGATACGTTATGATGTATGAAGTGAATATAAAGAGATATTCTCTTTCACATTTTTATAAATATAGATGAGGTATGATTTAAGACATTTTTTCAAAAAGATGTTTATTTCTTAAAGTGATCTTATTATATGATTTTTTTCATATCAAATTATCAATGCAAATTTCTTGCAAAATAATTGCAAAAAATTGTTGCTTAAAATTGAACAATTTATTTTCGAAAGGGTGAGTTTAAATAAAACGTAAGCTTTTGGAAAATCTTGTGACATTATTAAAGCTAAACAATTGACATTTAATCGTAATCTAAAGTTAGAAAATGTGCATTAAAATGACAAAATCAAAATGTATATGTGGAAGAAATTGTATAAGGAAGGAATGGAAGATGAATGAGAGGAAAATATCAATTATACCAATTATACGCGATTTGAGGCGTCGCGAGTTAGTCTCGTGCATTTGTGCAAATCTTAAAGCGCACGTGCATGCGTGCTTCACGGGACTACCTGTTCGCCCGACGACACGGCCAGTGACACAGAAGAAACAGAACGAGAGAGAGAGGTTTTGAAGAGGTGGAAAGGGGTAGGAGAGAGAAGAAGGTGAATAGGGAAGTGGGGGAGGAGTAAGCAAAGACGCATCGGTGTACCTTGTGTATAGAGAGAAAACGACGACCGCGACTCGCGCGTACGAATCCGCGAAGCCGAGAGTCGGCGAACTGAGAACCGAACCGTTCGCCGATTCCAAAGTCCGCCGGCAGTCAAGCAGGTTCAGTTGTCTCCGAACCCCCGAACTGTTCGGACGCGTTCTCCAGAGGCAAATTGTTCAATCCTACGACACGTTCTCGCGGAACACGCGCGATTCGTCTTTGACAGATACACACGGACGCATCGAGCGATCGAAGTGCACGAAAAAAGAATTCGATCGTCCGAAAGAGATCGAATTGATTTAAAAATTCTCCACGTTGCAAGAACAGCGGGGGTAGCCACGGCTGTCAACGTAGAGGTTCCCATCTACCCCTACGTCGATAGAACAACCCTTCGCGGGAACCAACCACCTGTCCCTCTGGTCATCGAGACGAAGGGGAGCGCGAGATCGTCGCTGATTCGAACGATCGATCTGCTAAGACGTGAGTATCGTAGCGAGAAGTCTATGGAGTTTCATGCTAAGAGGGTGGTTTGCCAGCCGCGGCGAACTCTTCCTGTGCATCATCGTGCATTACACGCATGGTCGCTACTGACGAGTCATTTTAATCGGATGAGAGGTAATGCTCTTCTATCTCGTTTTTAGAAAGTAAAGATGTTAAACTGGGGATCGAAACGTCGCGATAGAAAATGAGAATACGAATGGATATATATAACACGTATCCATTATTAAATATTTAGAATTGGTATAAATGCAAAATTATGTTACTCAAAACATTCCACGTTGACGAATCGTACCAACGCAATGATAATATTTATATGTGTGGATTATTTTTACGAAAATTGCGATCAAATTCGCAAGACTTACTTACGAGTGAAGAATCATTTATATGTATTTTGATAAGGTATGTAGCTTTTTTAACTTGTCAAATGTAAAAAGAGTAAATGAGACATTTGCATAATGGAATATATGCAGTGCACAGGGGGTTTGAATGTAGAAAAAGCTGGAGAAATATACATACATGAAATTACGATTTGCGATTCTCGGGTAGACAACCTTTCGTAACATTTTATTTATAAACAGCAATAATATTGTTCTCTCAAGAAAAGAACATTAGTATAACGTGATCATTATAAACGACTTTAGTATAACGATTTACTTCAGGTTCTAATTTTATAAGCGTAAAAATATTGTAGGTAATACAAATAAATAATAAATTTTTCGTACGTATTTTACAACGTTAAAAAAATCGGTTCGATTTGTAGTCAGGGAAAGAATTCGTATGCTTGTAGTTTTATATCTTGGATCTTTACATGCACGCATCGTTATATGTTCGCTCGCTACTAGCAGTCGGCGATACTAAACGCGCTTCGTTCCAATGATGTGGAGTTACGATTGCTTCAAGATATAGCACATGTATATTCAATACTGTGAAAGAAATGTGATAGTTATTTTTAATATTATTGCACACACTTATTCGTGATTACTTAAAAAAAGTTTTACTTTTATATAATGTTTACATTGTAAACATTGATATAAGTTGTACATAATGTACACTTGTATTGCAATAACAATTATTTAAACATCCAATATTAACTATAAATTAATATGCATTATAAAATTAAAGTAGAGATATATTTGTCATTTTTAAAAAGATACTTCAACGTGTAGGTATACATTTCTGCAAATTTTTTTATAACAGGGAATTGATTTAATATTTAATCTCTTTGAGATATACAAGCTACCTCATCAATCGTTTGCTTTTATAGAAGAATAAAATTTTCCATATGTATATATTTGATATAAAAAAGTAGTTTTCGTGTTGTATTAAATATTCATAAGTGCACATTTACAAATGCTTTGTGAGTATCTGATGTATATAGAGGTACACGTTGCACATGACTTGCAGATGATCGCTCGATTGTATATTCACAGTATGCCTATATTATTAAGAAATATTCTGATATATATTATATTATAAAACAATGAAAAATTTTACAATCTGATCTGATGGTATATTTCGTTGTTTTTGTTATATCGCTATAATATTAAGATCGATTATGATTTCAATTATATTTATATCTAAAATTTTGCACAAAAGATAAATTACAGAGAGTATTATGTATTATTTAATTTTTTATTTGCTCGCGGTTTCATTAATATTTTATTCGAGTGCAGCTCTGGCAATTTTTATTAAATAAATTTACATTTACTTTAGCTTGTTTGTATATTACGTAAAACATATTATATAGAAATTTTAAAGACGAAAATTACTATACTTGCAGGTGTAAGCACTTGAATTTTTCTTTGCAGCATGTTATTTAAAGTTCTCCGCAATTGTTTTGTACTTCGTATCTACTAAACAAAATTCTTTTTTGATAGAATTAGCATGCAAAAATTTAAATTGCATATCAAT